AATAAATATATATATATATATATATATGTATATACATATGTACACACACACATATATATACATATATACACACACACGTGTGTGTGTATATATATATATAATGGGACTATTTCTAAATGATCAAGGCAGGGAGGTACAAACAGTGTGTTGGGGCTGTGTGGATAAAACAAAATTGACCATGAGCTATAAGAACTGACATTAGGCTAGGCGCAGTGGTTCACACCTGTAATACCAGAGTTTTGGGAGGCTGAGGAAGGAGGACCTATCAAGCTCAGGAGTTCAAGACCAGCCTGGGCAACAGAGCAAGACACCCATCCTCTACAGAAAAATTTTTTAAAATTAGCCAGGCATTGTGGCGCACACCAGTAGTCCCAGCTACTGAGCAGACTGAGGTGGGAGGATCACCTGAGCCCAGGAAGTCAAGGCTGCAGTGAGCTGTGATGGCACCACTGCACTCCAGCCTGGGTGTCAGAGTGAGACTTTGTCTTTAAAAAAAAGAAATGACATTAATAAGATAGTAAGATTGGAGTTGGGCAACAGGTATGGGAGGGGTCATTTCTTCTTCTGTATACATTTGCACTGGTCTGTAACAAACAGTGTACACACATACGGCATCAGTTGGCAAATGTGAATAATATAAATTGTAAGAGACGTCCCAGACAAAAATCAAACCAAGACATGTAACTGAAGAGGCAGTGGTCTTGAACAAAGTTAGCCATATGTGATAAAACTTCTTTCATTTTTAAGTGGAACCGTAAATTTTCTGAGTTAATTCGTAACTGGTCACAATCCCAGAGCACCCTTGTCTTCTCAGTGGTATTTTTTTACATTACCTGTGCTGGTTTCTCCTGAAGAAACTGAACTTCTCCATCTTGAAGAAATGTAAGGAATCGAGGGATGATATGTTCTAGGAATGTAGAATACTGAGGAGATGACGTGACATTCTAATTGTGCAAAAATAAAAGAAGACCCCATTCAGTTACGTGTACATATCTTCATTTCAAATTCACTCAATATACTGACTAACTGCAAAGGAAAATAAAACATTTTAGCCAAAAGCAAATTGGTGCTATTGTATTATTTAGTAATAACATAATTTTAAATTAGGATGGTTGTATTTCTGAAACCCAATTCAGGAGAACTAAATGCTAACTTTTACTATTAAAATTAGAAATATCAATGCTTTGGGAAATGCTGAACCTGGAACCCATTCTAGCTTGGCTCTGCCACAATCTAAGTATGAAACCTCTGCGAAGTTATTTAGCTTCTACATCTCAGTTTCTTGATCTGGAAAATGAAGAGACTGAGCAAACTAACATATTACTTAGATGTACATTCACTATGTACTAATTAGATGTATACTAATTACATTATAATCTAATCTAATCCATTATTGATGCTAGTACTGATTTTAAAAGGAGAATAGGAAGGGCTGGGCACTGTAGCTCATGCTTGTAATCCCACCACTTTGGGAGGCCGAGGCAGGAGGATCGCTTGAGCCCAGAAGTTCAAGACCAGCCTGGGCAACACAGCAAGACTCTATCTCTACAAAAAAAATTTTTTTTAAAGCGGGGCATTGTGGCACGTGCCTGTGCTGTGGTCTTAGCTACTCAGAGGGCTGAAGTAAAAGGATCACCTCAGACTGGGAGTTCAAGGCAGCAGTGAGCTATGATGGTGCCACTGCACTCCAGCCTGGGCAACAGTATGAGATCCCATCTCTATTTAAAAAAAAATAAAAAATAAAAAAAGGAGAATAGGAAATAAAACTATAACGTGAAGATACTAGGGCAGTTTCTGGATCTCACTTAGGAAGTAGAAACTTTGGACAGTTACCTAAACTCTCTGAGGATATTATTTCCCGCCTTCCTTACAGGACTATTGTGAAGATTGCATGAGTTAATATATGCAAAGTTTATGAAGTTTCTAACACTGCCTACGGGAAATGCTCGTAAGTGTTGTGCTGTCATTTACAGAGCACTTATGTGTCAGATACTGTGTTGTGTGCCTTTTAGTCTTTCTCATTTAGTCTGAGATGGGTATTATCTCTAAGATAGGTATTATCTCCATTTCACAGATAAGGAAAGAGAATCTAAGAGGTTAAGTTTTGAAAATGGGCACACTGGCTGGTCTGTAGTCCCAGCTACTCAGGAGGCTGAAGTGGGAGGATCACTGGAGCCCAGGAATTCCAGGCCAGCCTGGGCAATATAGCAAGACCTCACATCAAAAAAAAAAAAAGGTGAAGTTTTGGAAGTGGATTCAAATCAAGTATATATCTAACACCCAAATTCTTTTTCTTGTTTAATGCTTCACTTATTCATTCAACAAATATTTACTGAACTCCTATCATGTACTCAAAAGGGATAAAATAATGAACAGAACACATAATATTCATGCCATCAGAGACGGGGGAGGCAGCAGCAGAAGTAAGACAGGTATTAAACAAAAAGACTAAGGATACAGAACCATGAGGGGGGTTGTGCCAACAACTAAGGGAACATATAACTGTGAGACATCATTTACTAAATGTAACCAAGGGTGGAGGACACCTTCCTGAAGACGTGACACTTAACGCTAAAACTTGAAAGGCAAGTAGGAGTTACCCATGAAAAGGCAGAAAAGAAGATTCTACGAAAAGCATATGCAAAGGCACAAAATCAAGAGAAAGCACGAGTGTAAAAGGCATAAACAGAGTTCAGCATCTTGGAGAAGGAAACAGAAAAGAAAGGAGTTCAACTTCTAAGGTTTTTTTGAGACAGTCTCACTCTGTCGCCCAGGCTGGAGTACAGTGGTGTGAGCTTGGCTCGCTGCAATCTCTGACTCCAGGATCCAAGCAATTCTCCTGCCTCAGTCTCTCAAGTAGCTGGGACTACAGGCATGCGCCACCACACCTGGCTAACGGTTTTTTTTTTTTTTAAGTGGAGATAGGGTTTTCACCATGTTGGTCAGGCTGGTCTCGAACTCCTGATCTCAGGTGATCCATCTGCCTTGTCCTCCCAAAGTGCTGGAATTACAGGCATGAGCTACCACACCTGGACTGGAGTTCAACTTTATTTATTTATTTATTTATTTTTTTGAGACAGTCTCGCTCTGTCGCCCAGGCTCGAGTGCAGTGGCATGATCTCGGTTCACTGCAAGCTCCGCCTCCCGGGTTCACGCCATTCTCCTGCCTTAGCCTCCCGAGTAGCTGGGACCACAGGCACCTGCCACTACACCCCGCTAATTTTTTGTATTTTTGGTAGAGATGGGGTTTCACCGGGTTAGCCAGGATGGTCTCGATCTCCTGACCTCAGGTGATCTGCCCACCTCGGTCTCCCAAAGTGCTGGGATTACAGGCGTGAGCCACCGCGCCCGGCCTAGAGTTCAACTTTTACTATCAGGAGTCTGACAAGCTGGTGAGAACAGACACCTGGGCGGTTAAATGTGGGGCTAAAGAGAAAGATCTGGAGTTGTCTATCATATTATGCAATTTCAGAAGAGGGGTCTGTAAAGGAAGGACAGTGAAACAGTCAAAAATCAGAAAGCAGTATGGAGCAAGGAAAGAAAACCACTGTGGGTTTTTTTGTTTTGTTTTGTTTTGTTTTGTTTTGTTTTGTTTTGTTTTGAGACGGAGTTTCACTCTTTTTGCCAGGCTGGAGTACAATGGCACCATCTCGGCTCACTGCAACCTCCGCCTCCCAGGTTCAAGTGATTCTCCTGCCTCAGCCTCCGGAGTAGCTGGGATTACAGAGCCCACCACCACACCCGGCTAACACACCTAAGCACCTGTCTCCTGGGCCAACTTGGTGCAGATTTCTGGGGCCTCCACTCACACAGAACACTGTATGGGAGGTGGCTCCAGGAGCTGTGCAGAAACCAAATAGCTTCTCTCCAAGCAGACAGTGAATGTGTCGGGCAGAAGAACTGTGTTTGGCACCTTTCGTCCCTAAAGGTTAAGACTTTTGATGAAACACCCACAATCAAGTATTCAAGAAAAAGAGGGAGAAGATTCATGCTGGAACACTGAACTAACTGCCAGGTTATCAAGAAGTCAAACATATTTGCATGTAAGTCCATATTAACTAATGATTACACAGCTTTCAAATATCTGCATTTCAAATTTCTCCAATAAGGCTGGGCACAGTGACTCATGCCTGTAATCCTAGCACTTTATTTAGGAGGACAAGGTGGGACTATCGCTTGGGCCCAGGAGTTCAAGACCAGCTGGGGCAATATAGCAAGACCATGTCTAAAAAAGAAAAGAATTTCTCCAGTTAAAACAATTCATTCAAGCTGGGCATGGTGGTGCCCGCCTGTAGTCCCTGCTACTCGGGAGCTGAAGCAGGAAGATCATCTGAGCCCAGGAGTTCAATGTTGTGGTATGCTAGGATGGCACCTGTGAATAGGTACTATAATCCATAGCAAGACCCTGTCTCTAAAAAACATTTTTATAATTAAAAAAAGATTTATTCAACAAGCTGCCTGGTTATTCTGCAAGTATCTCAACTCAGCTACCAGCTTTTTGATCCAGATAAATTGTTCATGTGATTCCTAACCTGAAGGTTTGTCTTGAAAGATGGCCCATTTAATAATGAAGCTGTAAGACTCCTGAAATCACTGGGAGTTTTTAAAATTTCACTCACCTCATTTAAACATTTTTCTGGGGTGGTAGTAATTTAGAGAACTGCTTCTTTTTTTTCTTTTTTTTTGAGACAGAGTCTCACTCTGTCGCCCAAGCCGGAGTGCAGTGGCACCATCTCGGCTCACTGCAAGCTCCACCTCCCGGGTTCACACCATTCTCCTGTCTCAGCCTCCTGAGAAGCTGGGACTACAGGCGCCTGCCACTGCGCTCGGCTGATTTTTTGTATTTTGAGTAGAGATGGGGTTTCACCATATTAGCCAGGATGGTCTCGATCTCCCGACCTCGTAATCCACCCGACTCGGCCTCCCAAAGTGCTGGGATTACAGCCGTGAGCCACTGTGCCCCGCCAAGAACTGCTTCTTGATGGTCATTCTAGTATTTAATTCTTTGAAGAATTCAGTCATCTGAACTTCATTTAAGGTAAATGTTGATACACAGACTGCAAAAGTCATTACTCGGAAAAGCCCTAACTGTACTGCCTCGCAGATACAGAGAGAGATACATATATGTAGATTACATATCTATATATATAATATTATATGTATGTAATATTTTGAAACAGTGTCTCGCTCTGTTGCCCAGGCTGAAGTGCAGTGGCATGATCTCCGCTCACTGCAACCTCTGCCTCCCAGGTTCAAGTGATTCTCTGCCTCAGCCTTCTGAGTAGCTGGGACTACAGGCCAGGCATGTGCCACCATGCTCGGCTAGATTTTTGTATTTGGAGTAGAGACAGGGTTTCATCATGTGGGCCAGGTTGGTCTCGAACTCCTGGCCTCAAGTGATCCACCTGCCTCAGCCTCCCAAAGTGCTGGGATTACAGGCATCAGCCACCACACCCAGACTTGCCCCACTAACTTCTAGTTGTTAATCAATGCATCTGAGACCAAAAGCCAGGAAGGAGGTAACCTGAAAACTACAAATCCTAAAAAGGAGAATAAAGTCTCAGAACCTCAAGAGGGTCAGATATTTACAGATATTTAATCCAGACAGCCCTATGTCCACGCTCGGAGCCCTGACTCAAGGGCTTGTTCCTGCGGGTTCACAGACTGCCCATTTCAGCCTCTCCGACAAACCTGCCAGGACTATGGTTCTCTCAGATCAGTTCTTCCAACAAAATGCGGAATGCAGACATATCCTCTTCTGCCTCTCACTTTTTTATATATATATATGTATTTTTTAAACAGCTTGTTTTAGCAGCTTGGGCAGAAAAGAAAGCTCTTTAGCTAGATCTCTAAATATCTCAAGGTTTTTTTCTAGCTCAGCTCAAGGCAACAAGTCCTTGAAAATGTCTATTAAAAAAAAGCTAAGATACTATCCATTAGTACAGATAGTAGGGTATTTGATTCAACCCCACCAGCATGTATTTAACGTTTGTTAATACAAAAAACCTTACGGAAGGTAGGGAACATTTTCTCTATTGTTCTTAGATTATTATCCTCACATTTTAAAAAAGAAACGTTGGCTGGGCGCAGTGGGTTACACCTATAATACCAGCACATTGGGAAGCCGAAGCAGGAGGTTCGCTTGAGCCCAGAGTTCGACCAGACTGGGCAACATAGCGAGAAAGAAAGAAAAATTAGCCAAGCATAGTGTCTGACACCTGTAGTCCCACCTACTCAGGAGGACCACCTGAGCCCAGGAGTTCAAGGCTGCAGCGAGCTGTGACTGCACCACTGTACGGCAAGACCCTGTCTCTTAAAATTTTTTTTAATCAAATAAACAATAAAAATCAGAAACATGATCCTTTTGTAGTTTGTAAGCATGATGATTGGGGTTTCATGCTTATGTGTGAGATGTGCCTCCCTTAAATCTTGTTATGATGTCAGCACATTACCCATCTGATGTGAAAAAAATAAGTAACAAAAGTGACTTTCTCATCTATGAGACTAACTGGTACCCAGGTGAACCAAAGAGTTGGGCAAAATACAAGATAACTTTTTTCAGGTGTTGGATTAGGGGCAATACCAGAGTATGACTCCCAGGAGAAGGGAAATTCACATGCTGAGCCCCATGACCACCATGGTTCTCTGCCTAGGTACGATTTTCCAACTGGGGTTCAGCAAGCTGGGTCCAAGCAGGGGTCACGGCCTGCTGAGCTGAGGAGTAAAATCCTTAGTGTTCAGGAGAGCTAAAGTGGCTGGAATCTGGAGGGCATAGCACCAGAGAAAAGCAAACCACAGAGCAGGCCTCCAGTGAAGCCAGCTGAGGGCTGGACTGCACACACATAGGGTGACACTGCCTGAAGCTCACCACAGTGTACTTGCTTCAAGACTGAGAGATGCGGCCGGGCGTGGTGGCTCATGTTTGTAATCTTAGCACTTTGGGAGGCCGAGGTGGGCGGATCGCCTGAGGTCAGGAGTTCGTGACCAGCCTAGGCAACATGGCGAAACCCCATCTCTACTAAAAATATAAAAATTAGTGGGTTGTGGTGGTGCACACCTGTGGTCCCAGCTACTCCAGAGGCTGAGGTAGGCCCAGGTAGTTGAGACTGTAGTGAGCTGTGACCACACCACTCTACTCCAGCCTGGGCGACAGAGGGAGACCCTATCTTAAAAAAAAAAAAAAATTGCAAGATGAATGAAGATACCATACATCTAGTAATGCTAGAGAATGCTGGATTTCAAGCCTAGCCGGAGTGCAAAGACCTACTTAACATCTTAATAACATCCCAGACCTCACACATCCAGCTAGACCATGTCCTAGAACATGGCCTATTCTAGACCAACCCCAACAAAGCCTAAAATCAGCCTCTGATGAGATCCAAAGGCAGAATTTGAAGGTTGAATCCCACCAAGTTAGAGACCTGGGAAAGACCTTGGGCCATCCACAGATCCTCCCCAAAGCATAAAACCAATCCTATGCAAATTCAGTGGGATCAGCTGGTAACTGAACTGCCTACTACGACAAAACACTGACATTCTTCAGAGGGAGATAACAGGATCTAGACTCCCTACGATGTCTCACATGTAATGTCCACTGTACAGTAAAAAAATTACTAGATGGTTGGGAACAGTGGCTCACATCTGTAATTCCAGCACTTTGGGAGGCTGAGGCAGGAGTTTGAGACCAGACTGGGCAACATGGTGAAATCTCATCTCTACGAAATATACAAAAATTAGCCAGGTATGGTAGTGCATGCCTGTAGTCCCAGCTACTCAAGAGGCTGAGGTGGCAGGCTCACCCAAGCCCAGGAGGTTGAGGTTGCTCTGAGCCGAAATGGTACCACTGCACTCCAGACTGGGTGACGGTAAGACCTTGTCTCAAAATATATAAATATATAAATTACTAGACAAGGAAACAGGATAACAAGGCCCACAGCCAATAGAAATTGACCTTCATATAGCCCAAATGTTGGCTTTAATACATGAAGACTTTAAAACAGCCCTCATACAGTAAGTATGTTCAAAACATAAAAGAAGAGTATGGTCTTAATAAATGAAGATGGGGAATCTGCAGATAAACGAAATCTATAAAGAACCAAATGGAAATTCTAGAACTGAAAGCACAATAGCTAAAATTTTTAAAAATACAAAACATAAACTGAAATTCTAAGAAAAACCCAGCAGGTTGGAGATAACAAAAAAATTCTCAGAAGATCAACAGAAATTATCCAATGTAAAGGACAAAAAGAAAAAAGACTGAAGAAAAATGAAAAGTGTCTGAGGGACACGCAGTACATATAAAATTGTAGGATATGTGGTCCACAAGAGAGAAAGTTCTTTCTTGATCAAAGTCACAGATGTTCTAATTAGCAGAACCAGAAACGACATCCAGATCTCATTGCATAGGAATATACCATCAAATTACCTGAACACAACAAATTTACAACATAAATCTGAGTGCATCTCGGCCAGGCACAGTGGCTCATGCCTGTAATCCCAGCACTTTGGGAGGCCAAGGCAGGTGGATCACCTGAGGTCAGGAGCTCAAGGCCAGCCTGGCCGACATGGTGAAACCCCGTCTCTACTAAAAATGCAAAAATCAGCCGGGCATGGTGGTGCACACCTGTAATCCCAACTACTTGGGAGGCTAAGGCAGGAGAATCACTTGAACCCGGGAGGCGGAGGTTGCGGTGAGCCAAGATCACGTCACTGCACTCCAGCCTGGATGACAGAGTCAGACTCCGCCTCAAAGAAGACAATAAACAAGCTAGGTGAGATGGCTGATGCCTGCAATGCCAGCACCTTGAGAGGTTGAGGCAGGTAGATCACCTGTGGTCAGGAGTTCAAGGCCAGCCTGACCAACACGGCGAAACCCCGTCTCTACTAAAAATACAAATATTACCTGGGCGTGGTGGCAGGCACTATAATCTCAGCTACTCTTGAGGCTGAGTCAGGAGAATCGCTTGAACCTGGAAGGCAGAGGTTGCAGGGAGCCAAGATCACGACACTGCACCCCAGCCTGGGCGACAAGAGCGAAACTCCATCTCAAACAAAAATCAAAAAAGAAAGAAACTAAACACAAGAATAATCTGAGTACATCCCAACAGGCATGGTAGCCTATAAGAGCTATCATATTTTAAAATGAAACAATGTTGTTAAAACAACCAAAACAAAACTGACAACCCTCAACACAGTGTGGGGTTCGCTATCATTAGCGTGCAGATGGAAAACACTGTGTACAAAGTTTCAAATGTCAGTTTTGAAATATAATATATTACTTGAACAAAGACAATGATCTTTGAGTTGCTAGTAAAAAGACTGATAAAGCAGGAACAGGAAAGTGCATGACAGTATTTACTTCAAAATGAAAAATACAAAATATAATGCTCATACCTCAAAATTTTCACTAACTTCTTGCATCATTTTCAACTTCGTTTCATCAGCTGTAAATGGCAATACAAGCATCAGGTAATTGAAATTATGTTAAGGAAATTATGTTAATGCAAAACTTGGATTTAGTAATTTAAGAGAAGCAATCAGATCTTATCAGTTTGACTGTCATGGCCTAATAGAAGGCACATAGCTAGTTCCCTACAACCAGTCGCACACATTTGTACTCTCAGACATACACACGCATGCACTGACAAGCATATACATATACACAAACATACACACATGTGCCTCTTTGGGGCTCCAGCCAGTATTACTCATCACTTTGCTTCTCTACAAGGTAGAGAAAAGGAAAACGAGAATAAAAGTTAACGTTACAATTAATCTTAAACTGCACAACATTGGAGCTGAGATGGATGTGTTATATTTATGCATTTCTTTCTTTCTTTTTGAGAGAGAATCTCGCTCTGTCACCCAGGCTGGAGGGCAGTGGCGTGATCTCGGCTCACTGCAACCTCTGCCTCCTGGGTTCAAGTGATTCTCCTGCCTCAGCCTCCCGAGTAGCTGGGACTACAGGCGTGAGCCACCACGCCTGGCTAATTTTTGTACTTTCGTAGAGACAGGTTTCACCACGTTGGCCAGGCTAGTCTCAAACTCCTGACCTCAGGTGATCCACCTGCCTCGGCCTCCCAAAGTGTTGGGATTACAGACGTAAGCCACCACGTCCGGCCTTGTTTATGCATTTCTTAATGACAAAAAGGATCAACTCACGTGTATTCACATCTGTGAGAGCTGCCACGAACTGAAGGTACTTTTTCATCAAAGTGGTCTGGTCAACCACCGTGGCCCCCTGTGTTGCAACAAATGCCATTTTTCTTTTGGGCTGGTTTGATTCTCAAGAGAAAAGTATCAGGTCCATGAGTTTAACCAGCCTATGAAAAGAAGCATAGAGTTAGTCAACTTACCGAGGGCACAGGATCACAATCTCTGTGAAAATCTTACCTAAATGCCTATATAATCGATATGCTTTCATCTTAATCCAGAATCTAACACTATTCCTTCTGGTTTTTTGAATATGAAGTTTACCCATTTTGTCTATTAATTTTGAAACATGATTTTTCTACGCAGATATTTTCTTTCCTATGGTATTTCCTCTTTCCCTGAGTCAGTGGTTGGCAAACGTTTTCTGTAAAGAGCCATACAGTAGATATTTTAATCTTTGTGGCCACACAGTCTGTCACAACTACTCAGCTCTGCTATAACCAGAAAGCAGTCACAGACAGACAACATGTAAACAAATGAGTGAGGCTGTGTTCCAATAAAACTTTATTTATGGATGCTGAAATCTGAATTTCATATAACTCTCATTTACCATGAAATATCCTTCCTCTTTTCCCCAGCCATTTAAAAATATAAAACCATTCTTAGTTCATGGGCGGTATAAAACAAGGCAGCAGGCCAGGCGCGGTGGCTCACGCCTAGAATCCCAGCACTTTGGGAGGCCAAGGCAGGGAGATCACGAGATCAGGAGTTCCAGACTAGCCTGGGCAACATGATGAAATCCCATCTCTACTAAAAATACAAAAATTAGCCAGGCATGGTAGTGGGCACCTGTAATCCCAGCTACCCGGGAGGCTTGAGGCAGTAGAATCACTTGAACCCGGGAGGTGGAGATTGCAGTAAGTCAAGATTGTGCCACTGCACTCCAGCCTGGGCAATAGAGGAAGACTCAGTCTCGGGGGGAGGAAAAAAAAAAAAAACCAAGCAGCAGGCTGGATCGAGGCAACCTTGGTTGTACGTGTGACTGGTTCCCAAGCTTCAGCCGGCATCAAAATCCCCAAGTGCCAAAGGTGGGCTCCCAAGCAGCCCCCCTTCAGACTGTGGTTATGTGAGGGGCACGGGAAACTATGAATTCTGTTTGTAGCTGGCAGACAGTAGGTACTCAACGGCTGCACCCAGCTGACACACAGATGGAGACTTGGTTTCTATTTTAACAGGTGTCACAAAGTACACGGAGAAGCTGGTGAAATAAGTTGCTTTAACCCCTCCTCCTTGCATAATCCTGCTCTGCACTAAGTGGCAGTTTCACGGCTTCGTTTTCTTTCAACAGACACACCAGGACCTCCTCTGCAGGCCTACCGGATACACTGCTTTGCAGCGGACACAGGTGACACTAGAGAGCTCCTTCCGGGCACTCTCTCCTAAACACCAAAAACGCTTCTTCCATGCACAGAGCATGCCCACAGGTGTCCCAAAACACGCCCACCAGAAGCCCCAGCCTTCTGGCTCCAGGTAGGAAAAGCCACGAAGGAAACCAAGGCGGGGGAGTGTGTCATGCCCTGCTAGGGCACCTGGCAACTACCTGTTTCAGGTGACACCCCCGCCCCAAGACAGAAGACCCCACACTCCCTTCCCCATCTCCATCGGGCCAAGACATGGGGTTCTCGGGCCTCTCCCTGCCCATCCCCAACGCAGGGTACCCAAGACTCGGGGATCACGGCCTCTCCCTGCCCATCCCCAACCCAGGGTACCCAAGACTCGGGGGTCACGGCCTCACCCTGCCCATCCCCATCCCAGGGGACCCAAGACTCGGGGTCACGGCCTCTCCCTGCCTAAGAACCTCCCTAGTCCTGTCCAAACTTCCCCCTTCCCACAGAAGTCGACAACTCTTCCATTTCCCGGGGTCCCGCGGAGCCTGGGGGCCTTGGCCGGGGGAAAACGCCCCCATTCCGCGTGTCTGAGGGAAAGCAACTTCACCACCCCGAACGCCGAAAGCCCAGGCCTGGCTGGCGCCGCGCCCGCTCCCACTCCCGGGGACAAAACGGCCCTGCCG